GAGCTTATCCCAGGGGTGGGGAACCTGCAGCCTCTAAGGCCACATGTGGCACTGTAGGTCCTCAAGTGCTGCCCTTTGACTGAGTCCAAACTTCACTGAACAAATCTCCTTAATAAAAGGATTTGTTCTGTAAAACTTGGACTTGGTCAAAAGGCTGCACCAGAGGATTTAGAAGACCACATGTGGCCTCAAGGCTAGAGGTTCTCCACCCCTGGTTTATCCATATTAAGCTATACTGGTTCTCAGACATAAGACATATAGGTTATCCCTGCATCTGTATATTATTATTACTATTATAATTGGCTAACATTTACATCAGTACTCTCAGGTTTACAAAGTGCTTTATATAGATTATCAAATTTGATCCTCATAACAGCCCAGTAAAATAGGTGCTGTTATTATCTTCATTTTCCAGATGAAGAAACTGAGACTAAGAGAAGAAAAGTGATCAATACAGGGTGCCACAGCCAATAAGTATCCAAGGCATGATTTGAAGTCAGGTATTCCTGGCTCCAAGTCCTGTGCTCTATTCATTGTACCACTGTTGCCTATTTGAAGCCTCTCCAGCTTGGTGGGACCTGCCCAAGCTTACAATCTGCTGACAAAAATAATCCAGAGTCGTTACCAATCAATCAATCAATCAATCAATCAAAAAGCATATATTGAGTGCCTCCTATGTGCCAGGTACTGTGCTAAGTGCTAGAAATGCAAAAAGAGGCAAAAAATAAGGGGCAGGTAGGTGGCGAAATGGATAGAGCACCAGCCCTGGATTCAGGAGGACCTGAGTTCAAATCTGGACTCAGACACTTGATACTTAACTAGATGTATGACCCTGGGCAAGTCACTTAACCCCAATTGCCTTGACCAAAAAAAAAAAAAGACGAAAGATAGCCCCTGCCCTCAAGGGGCTTCTAATCTAATGATACCAGGATGAAGCACAAAAAGACTATACAATCTCAATATTAATCAGATATCAATGCTTCAAGAACCTGCCATTTTAGTGGGGTAGGTCTGCCCTCCCTCCAATGCAAATAGTGATTCCTTCCATATCTTAGCAGACAGTTTATGAGAGTTACTGTAACACAAAAGTTTTCATTTGTGTAATACAAAACTTTAATTTTATCTTCACAACAACCACACAAGGTAAGCAGTACAAGCATTATCGTCCCATTTGCAGATGAGGAAACTGAGGCTGAGTGAGTAACTTGGTCAAGATCACACAGATTGGCAGAGCTGGGTTCAAACTCAATGAATCCCCATCAATAACTGGATAATCCATAAATAGCCAAGCACTGAATCAACCAACCAAATACTTCGTCTATCCCTCACAAGTTCCAAGGAGTATCCCTAGTGGCCCATATTGCAATAGGATTCCCAGACTCACCATGAGATCAGTCTCCCTGGAATTGGGTGAGCCATGAATTGTATTTTAGGACAGCAATTCAGCAGACTGAGAAAACTGTAGAGTCATGAGATCATAAACTTAGAGCTGGAAGGACTCGAAGAAGCCACTAAGATCAAGCCCCTCATTTTACAAATGAGGAAACTGAGGTTGAAAGAGGCTAAATGACTTGTCCAGGGTCACATAGAGAATAAGGGTCACAGATTTACAGTTGAAAGGGCCTTCTTCCTAAAGAGGTCTGACACTGTTGTGAATTAAGAGGGGACTTTGTACCTTCCAAATATATTGTAGTTGACAATCTTTGAATGATCTCTCTTTCTCAATGCTTATGGACACTGGTGACATTTGAAAAGGAATACTCTTGAAATTTTAACACAACAGAGCCAAGACTAAATAGAATAGACTGGTGGCCATATTCTAATTTTCTACTCAATGGAAGCCTACATTACAAAAACTGTAACTTTAATGGAAAAACCTATTGTTCCAACAAGCATTTAAGCACTAATTTATTAAGTACAGGCAATGACCAGAGAAGGTCTTTTGACCCTGAAATAGAAACCAGATCCTTTAGTTCTCTTCTTATCAAACACATTCACAAGAACTGAAATGTCTAATAATAACTACATGCTGTAATTCCCTCTTTGAGTATCTGGGCAGAAAAACTGTATTTCCTCCATCAAACTTCCTTTTATGTTGCAACAGCAAGAAACTCACTTTCAACCTGAAACCCCGAATAATCCAGAGTCATAAATTTGTCTCTAGGAACAACATAATTTGCATGGTTTATGTAAATGAAGCCTGAAGCTTCACCTTCCTGTTTAAAGTACTTTAATTGGTGCATAAGAGGATTTATCTATTTACAATTGGAATGAATTCACCCCCTTCCCTCCAGTCCCCATTAGGCAACACAACTAGGCCATGCAGACATTTGGCCTCTGTGAATGGGTAAAGATTCACCCTGCTGTCCAATATGGCCAATCAGATCTTTGAGGATCACCTAGATTGAGCTTGGTCATAGCCAACCTGTGGAACAGAGGGCAAACCTGATCACTCCTGTGTTTCAGCGATCTCTACTGCGAACTGGCCCATGGATTCATGGCAGATGTTGGGGAAAATTGATCAATATATTTAAAGGAGGGAAGTATGCAATTTGAACCTTTTTGGTCAATAGAATCTTTCCCTGTCCCCTTCTTCCAGTCATTCTGCAAGCCAACAACAATGGTTACTTCTGGGAAGTCCCTTTGCAGTACAGAAGCATCAACAGTCAGCCTCTCCATAAACAGCTTCTAACCAACTTCCAGTTAGATCTACTTTGGTAACATAAAATTGAAAGAGATACTTATATGATGAATGTCTGTTGTGTATGAAGTAAGTGTTTCAGCTAATTTCTGTTTTTAAAAGTCTTTGGTAAACCTCAAGAAAATGTGCACGAGGACTATGAAAAAGAGGAAAACAACTGAGAAGACATTTCATCTCAAAGACATAAATATGAAAGGGTTTTAACTTCCTCTCCCTAGACCCTTGGAACAAAACCCACAAATCAGTAATGTCAGTTGTAAATGTTCCTTGGGTGAAAATTTAAATGCTTTCTAAGGCATATCATACATCTCATTCCTAACATGTGAAATCTCAAAACGGGCAAACCCCTCACCATCTATTTCTAGGATATTAGCACATTCCCTTGTCCCAGGAACCAAGTTAAAAAGGTAAAGAAACTATGAAGGTTTTTTTTTTCATAGTTTGTGAAATATTTTGAGGGCTTACTATTTAATATCCACACTATGAGAAACCTGAAATTGAAAAATCCTTTTTTTTCTACCTTATTCTCCATCATTGTGCCCACTGAGTTAGCATTCTTTATCCCGTAGATAGCTTGCTTGTACACAGGCATTTTCGTATTGTCTCTCTCATTAGACTCCTTGAGAGTATGGACTGTCTTTTGGTTTTCTTTGTATCTCCATCACTTAACATAGTGCCTGGCACACAGTAGGTTCTTAAAAAATGTTCATTGCTCTTTGCTGAAATATTTGGTACTGGGAGACAGATAGGAACTGGATGTATGATTTCATTGGCATAGGAAATCCCCAGAGGAAGAACCTCCCTCCACTGATGAAGGTTAGCACTTTTGCTATAATCTATAATTCTTTGGAGAGAGTAACGAAAAGGATAGAGATTCAACCATTATGTGTGGGACTCGATCTCAGGTTTTCCTGGCTTTGAGGCCAGCTCTTCATCTCCTACACCTATTGGTATTAATGTATTTAAAAACAAAAAAACCAAAAAGTTTTGCTAGGGGAAGTAAGTGTGATTCCTTGCTTCTATTATAGGTTTTGATTTCTATCCCTGCCACTGAATTTGATATTACTTTAGAAAATCACTCCCTCTTTTTCTGTCTCATTAACCCTTTCTATAAAATAAGTTCAACACAATGAACCATTGCAAAACATTTTATAGGCTATCAAGATTAAACAACATGATGTATTGGTAAAAGAGAAATGTTATGACAAAACTTTGCTTGATCAGTGGGTTTAAAATCCTCCCATCAAAGTTGTCACATGTAAGTACAAATATTTTCGAACAGCATAAACTAGCCTCCTTTGCAGCAGCACCCTTTAACATACTGAAAGTTTTGTTCTAACCTTTTCTGAGGGAATTGTGAAATTCAATTTATGACACAGAATTTATTCCTTTTATCCAAATAAAACAAAAGTGGACAGAAATCAAGTTTTACAAAAGAAAAAAAATCCTATCTGGTTTAGGAAGAGCAAAGAAATATGAGGAACATATAAATTTAAATAACTATTCACAACTTGACTTTGAAGCTCAGGGTATAACGAACCCGAAACTCATTAAATGGAAAATTCAATTGCTCCTATTCAGAAGTAATGTTAAGACATGACTCATACCTCAATCTGATATGAAGACTCAAACAAAAAAGTTAAAATGGTCACTTTTCAGATCATTACATATATGTATGTTCTTTCTTAATACAAAGGATGGCAGACATCAGAATTCCCAATATTTAGCCAATGCAATCTACCTAGAAATTACTTTCTCAGAAAGGAGTGGAGTGGTGGTTTTCTTCATCAATGTAATATAAAACCTGACTCAGTTTTGAGATGCAAGAATGAACACATGCTACCAGCATCTTCACACAGAGAAAGGAAGTTATTACAAATGCTTAGCTTTCCGAATGAGCGACTACTTCCTGGTCACAGACAGGACTGAATAAATGCATTTGAAAATTAAAAGTCCTAAAATGTAAACCTCCTAAAAATAACTTCCCCCCATGTCACTAAAATGCTATTATTCATCTCCATCTCATTCTCCAGCCCTCACAGAACATCAAGCTTATTCAAAGAAAGCTGAAATGTCTCTACTGAAGAAAAACTGCCAAAAGTTCTTAGCTTTGAAAGTGACCTAGACCAGGGCCACAATAATGGGAGCACTAGTTATAACATCTTACCATTATGGGCAAACATATTTACTTGATTTTTTTTTTTAAATGAACTGCGTTCCCACTGAATGCTACCATGAAGGGCTACAGGAAGAAACATTAGGAAAGACACAGAGAAATCAGATTAAAAGGATAACTCACCAGTTCTTTGGCACTGAAGGGAAGTAAAATAGCTGCTCTCATGGGCCACTTGTCAAACTGTTAAATGATTCCCCATTAAACACCCACCAAAACAAAAACAACAAAAAACAAACCAGACAACTCGACAAGGAACTCTTCTATAATAACCCTCACAAGGAACTACTCATAAAAACAGCACCCACGGAGGACTGCACATTTCTACCAGCATAGCAAGCTTAAGTATTTCCTGTTACCACCACTCCTATTGGTTCCCACAGGTGCAAGTGCCTATGGGCGGCTTATCTTGCCTTCCTTAAACCAACCAACTGAAGGAGATTTAAGGCTGACCCAAGTCAATAAATTTTTCTTGAGGGCTAGGAAGTATAGGCTTCAAATTGGAATAGCATAGGATTACTTTAGTAAATACCATTAGCCAAAAAACAAACTAAACTCCCTACCCTCAACGGCCCCCAAACCCCTCAAGTTACCATATGCCAACAAAGCAGAGAATGAGAGCCAACAACAGAATGCCTAGTTGACCTAAGCACTGGAAAACATTATTCCTAGAAGTTCATTAGTCTTTTCAAAATGCCTTGATGCTAATGTGTTTGTGGATTTTTTTTTTTGGTAAGGCAATCAGGGTTAAGTGACTTGCCCAGGGTCACACAGCTAGTTAAGTGTCAATGGATTTTTTTTTTAATAAAAAGGCCTTCTCTAAACAGATGTTAACAAATATATAAAGGGATTCAAGCAGCTAAGTGCAGAGCTCACCACTAGAACGCACTGCAACGTTAGCACCAGAGACACTCTAATCAAACTTCACTCACTGGAAACTCAAGCTGAAAACTCAGATTCCTTTCCAGTATATAACATGTCAAATAGGAGCTCTCTGTGCTTAATTTCTCTTTCCCCCAAAAGACATATATGATGCAGTAGCATATGTTCCATTAGGGAAAAGGGAAAACTTCTCACCATGAGTCACATGTGACTAAATTCTTATAATTCTAGCTTAAAGACATTTGAAACACATTCATCCATACAACTGATAGCAAGCCCCAAATTCACATCATGACTTTGGCCCATTTTCAAGGTCAATATCAGTGTCTCGTTAAAAAAAATTTAGGGGGTATTACACTTGTTCCAATTTTTATTTTAGTTTCACTAATGACTAATTTAAATGGGTTGTGTCAATTATTTTTTATGATAGCTGCCCAAAACTGGTAGCAAGCCCCAGATTAACATCAGAACTTTGATTAGCCCATTTTCAGATTCAATATCAGTGTCTTGTTAACAAATATTATATAGGGGTACTACAATTGTTCCAATTTTTATTTTAGTTTCATTAGTGAGTAATTTAAAAAAGGTTTGTGTCAAGTGCTTTTTATTCGAATCTATCCTAATGAATATTGCTCTCTTCCACTTAACCAACCTTTGATAGAACCTGATGGACCTTAGAGGTTGGTTACCCAGCTTAACCATTACTTGAAGCATTAATTCTCTTTATAGTAGCAATCAAACAACAAGCATTAATTCAAAGATTACTGTGGGAAAGGGGCATTGTGCTAGGCTCAGATGATACAGACAAAAATGAAGCAGTCCTGCCCTCATGGAACTTACATTGTATCTTTTCAGGATTCATGGTTAGAAAGGTCCTTCAAGATCATCCAATTTTATCTCTGCTATTTACACAGAACAACACCAAAGTCTACAGAAGTTACTATACCAAAGATCACAGAGGCACCAAGTCAAGATTTGAACCTAGGTATCCTGATGCCAAACTCACTATACCATGCTACTACCAATTTGACATTTGACTTTCTCCTAGAACACAGATGTCCTAGAGTTTTCAAGTGGAAAGATACCCTAGGTCTAGCAAGGTTAATACCCCCATTTTACAGATGAACTAACTAGGGCTCAGAGAAGGATGTGATGTGCCCAAGGTAACATAAGTAGCAAGTGTCCAAACCAATACTGTGTCTGAACCCAGGACTTCTGCCTCCACATCCAGTGCTCTACTTACTGCTTCTAGAAGACTGCAGAAGAAGGCATAGGTATGGTGGATGTGAATAACCAGTGTCCCACAAAACAAAAATGAAATAAATGCAAAGATTGCTGAAAGAGAAAATGTAAAACCAGCAAAAAGAGCAAGCAAATAAACCACATTCTTGCTTAGAATTTGGTTTCATTTTATTTGATGGAAAAAGGTTCATTTTATCCAGTAAATGCAAGTTAAAAGGAAATTCCCTTCACTGTGCTGCTGAATATTTGAACATTTAGCTTTTGATAATATAGTTTATGGTTAAAAGCTATTATAACCAAAGAAGAAACCTTGTTCTGAAAAGATTTGAGTCTTAAACACAACAGTCTTGGCCTCTAAGTCAAGTGGACAACTACTTCCTGGTAGAAAGGCAAAACTCAGCCCAGAACTTGGCTTTGAGCGTCCCTCCTATACAAGGAAAATAGACTCCCAAGCCTAAAGTGTCAGAACCAATGTTCTTCCTATAAAAACACCACCCGATTAAATAAACAAAAACAAATTCCAAGCACTCAAGGACTCAAAGGTCATTCAAGAGAAATTGTATTCATTATTACTTCAAGCTTATTGCCCAAATACACATCTCCACTTGTGTTCATTTTTTTTTTATGCTTTTTGATGAGGCATTTGGAGTTAAGTGATTTGCCAAGGGTCACACAGTATGTTCATTTTTCAATCAGCAAAATGAGTAGCTTTGATTGGTGCTATCTATGGTAAAGAATTCCCAGAAATCTTGGATTTAAGTTATTCTCATCTGTCAAGATTTATAATATCCACACCTTTATTGAAAGGAGTTCCACATGGAGCTTCAAATGAAGAGCTATTCCTTCCCATAGTAACAGGGGGAGGAAGTAAAATCGATGTCTTTCAAAGTGTGCATAGGTAATTAACTAGGATTCTGAGCATTACAAAAGTACAATGTGGGATGGATTTCTGTCACCTATTATTGGGAGCCCAATCTAAAACAGAATCCAGATCTCAGTATAGAATCCTCAGGTTGAAAGTGGAGATTATAGAATTGTTCCAGTTGCAAACACAGTCCACACTTCATATGAAATTTGAAGCAATATTAAGGTATTCTGAGTAACAATTTAGATACTTCCTCATACCTGGGATGAGATAATACGTGTAAACTTAAAGTGCTACGCAACTGTCATCTATTATTATCATCAACCACAGTAGGTATTTCTGTATCCTCTTCAACTGGACAGATCTATAATTCATCCAAGTCTTCTCATCTTGTAATTTTTGTTTATATCCCCCTCCATATGTAATCCATAAGGGTGTCACTCAAGATATCGGAGGCTTTTGTTCAGGTTTCTTAACATTAACTGGGTGGCAGTATATCAGCTGATTTGTTATAGAGGCATCTGGATGGTACAGTGGATAGAGAACTAGAATGAAGTCAACAGGATGAGTTCAAATCAAGGTGTGACCCTGGGTGAGTCAGTTAACCTTTGTCTGATCTGATTTCCTCTCTGTGGAATGGGAATAAAAATAGCACCTACCTCTCAGGGTTGTAAAATGACATCATATTTGTAAAGTGCTTTGCAAACTTTAAAGCACTCTATAAATGCTAGTTATTATTATTGATAACAACAACAACAATACGTAGCAGCCTACTTGCACCCACCAAGAGTCAGTATTGTACTTTGGGTGACCCTCAACTTTGGCTCTTCAGAGATTTTGGTATTCCATTTTGTGGACTTTGGATCTTAATTAGGAGGTTCTACCGTGCAAACCTCATAAAGCTGTCCACAAACAAGAGCAACTGGAGGCCCTCAGCATCCATCCGCACATGGATATGATACATGTAATACTTTTCATTTGAACTCCACTCTGGGCATTTTCTACGAGGGGCAAACATCTTTGGTGAACATATGCATGTTTTAGATATCCTGGAAATATTTCCAGTCTAAATCCAGGCTATTAAGATGAAGGACCGAAACCACCCACCTTGACAAATATGTGCTTGGAAAGATTTCTTATTATGAAACCAAAAGTCCACTAAGCCATAGTCTAGACTTGTAGTCTTTTCTTCTTCTTCCTCAGAAACAGAAATGAAATTGATGGGGGGGAGGGGATGAGGGAGGGAGCAGGTGTTGTTCCGTAAGACAACGAATGTAAGTAAGCTATAAGGAAAGACCCTCTACCCTCCTCCTATCTAGAAGCAGAAAGTTGTTCTTGCAGGGCTTGTGATAGGTTGATATTTACTTTCTCTCCAGGGTTTCTCTAGTGACCAATAACGTGCATTTATTTGGAAGTAAGTTAACCAGAGTTAGGGGTACAAGTCTGCGACAATAATGAAATCATGCTCCCTAGTCTCACAACTAAAAAGATGATATTTTATTTTGCAAAATGCAGACACTCTAGACCAAGTGTTCTTAACCTGGGGATTGTCACCTTTAAAAAATGTCAGTATCTTCCATTGGTTTCTTTTGTAATACTATATACATTTTATTTTATGTATGTAAAAATTTTTTCTGAAAAGAGATCCAGAGGCTTTACCAGATTGCCAAAGGGGTCCCAGAGACCAAAAGGTTAAGAACCCCTGCAGCAGCCCCTGGACAAGCTTGTTTGTAGCAGGGAAGGAGCCAATAGTTTGGGAGGTGAAAAGCAGATGGGGTGTGGGGAGGTGGGGCTGTACTGCCTGGGGAGGAAGGGGAAACAATCAATGGACTGAGTTCCTAAGGATCTGGGAGAGGATGGAATCAAGAGCACAAGCAGGAAAAGATGGTTCATTCTATCCTCAAATTGGAGCAACGCAGGTGACGATGGGTGAAAAGATAGAGTTTCACGTGTGCTGGGGGGGGGAGGAAACAGGGCAGTAGGCAGTGGCACCACATTGGGAGGCAGAAGCCCTGAACTCTCAGCTCTGGCATCTACTCCCTGTGCCTGGGTAAATTATTTCTCCTCTTTGGGTCTCAGTTGCCTCTTCTGTAAAATGAGAGGATCAGATTAAATGACCCACAAAGTCCCTTCTAGTTCTAAATTCATGTTCCTACGATTTGAACTATAGTTAAAAAAAAATGATCTTAACCTTCCGAGGCCGATCGGAACAGGGATAATGCATATGATCGCCTTCTGAGTTCTGGACGCAGGTACTCAATGATATTTCTCATGAGCCTTCTTTATCCAGGTGAAACATCCCCTGTTCCTTCAACTACTCCTCCTGGCAAGAAC